TATATATATATATATCGACGCGCTCAACAGCTAATCTGGCACGTGAGGCAAGTGGCAGGATCTCCTCCAACTCTTTGCTCCCGCTGGGCTGCTCCTGGTCAGGTCAAGGAGCAAACCATCGGCTTAAAGCTGGTGCCCATCCAATGCTTGGGAACTACACGAACTGCGAACTACGTTCGAGGAACCAAGCAGTAAGCAAAACAGGCCCAATTCTCGTATAAAATAGCAAAAGCTGGCCTCCACAACCAATGATTGGTCTTGTGCAGCTTGCGCTTCCAACTCGGCCACGCGAGTGTGAGCAGCTGACAGCTTCGCCTGCAACTGCCTCAGCTTCCACATGCTTCCACCATCTTCCACCGTTCGACTTCTGATGGAAGAGCACTTTGCCCACAGGCTTTAGATCATCTAAGACTGCAAGGCTCAAACCAGCCAAACCGGTTCAAGTCTCGAACTCATTCACTATAATATCAATTTCCGATGGGATCTGCATGAGTGGGGGCACGTCACACGTCTAGACTTTGCTGCATTCCAGAGTGCGACGAGAGCTACCAGCAGTGAAATACATGCGATCTATTTGGATATGGAGGCCCTTGAAAGGGAGTTCATTGTGGGAGTACTATGGGTGGCCTGCCAAGTGGCATAATCTCCTCAGACTCTTTGCTTTCTGAGGCCGCACGCTCCTGAAGGGTTGAGCAACACTCTGACGTATAGTCATCATGTCTCTAAAGAAAGCTTCATTGGATTCAAGTGGCAAGAACTGGTATACCTATTGCATCTGACACCGTGTAAGTTTCAAAATCCAACAACTCCAAACTATTCTGTCTTTGAAGCCTTCGTAGATCCTGGATGAGTTCTTTCAACCCCTCCATGCAGTCAAAGCGGCAGTGGAGATCATGGACACTTCCGGCACAGACGGAGCAGAGGAACTCGCCTTGTGTGACGTGACAATTGAGAGGGCTTCAACATGCTACAAGCCGTTTATAGACTCTCTCTGCAAGATTCACTGGCACCATACTGTATAAGGCCAACAATTGAGCATGCGGGCTCCTCATGACTGACTACCTCAAAGCTAGGAGTACCGTGACTAGGAATACCGTGAATACCTCAAAACAATTTTATGACTGGCTCCGCCTTGTATAAATTTTTATGGACTGCTGCCCAAAATCAAACTAGTGACTTAGTGCCAATGTTCTCTTACTTTATGGACAGGTCGCCCACGACTCGCTAGTGACAATCTTCTCGTTACCCTAACAACTTGTTTTGGCACAAGAGGGAAGGCGCACAGAAGCTGCTGACGAGATTGCCATGCCCTGGTTAGCAAAACTGTTCCCAGGTTGGAATTGTGAGCGTGGAAGAAAAAACATAGTATATAACCTCCACCCTTCTATATAGTAGATGGACCAAGTCCTTCTCACGAAATGCTTTCAAGAACAAATATCCCAAATCTCCAAGTAAATCCGTGGCACTGGTGCCTGCACATCACCGAAGTTGAAATCATCCCAGCCGTCATCACCTGTCAAACTTGCGACCTCACCTCAGCACCTAAATCCAGACTGAGTCTAGATTCTGCATCAAAATGGCCGATGTATATAAAATTACTTTATACCGTCCCCCCTGCAGAACTCCTGAAATCCCAAAGGTTATCTGTGGCAAGCCCCAGTTTAAAGAACCATGAAATGGGATATCAGATCTGACAAATCAACCCGTCTTGAAGATGCTTGACGCCATTTGACCTGTCATAAATATATATATATATGTATATATGTATAAATATATAGATAATTATAGATACGTATATCTATATAATATATGGGTACCAACCAACGAAGCAACTGCAAGAAGAATACTGTAGGTGCTGCATGCAGACCCCATCCACTGCCTCCATCCTCTCCTTTGGGCTTGGAAAGGTCAAGCGAAGGCTTTACCTGCTGAGACAAGGATTTGATTGTGTTTGACCACTGCGAAGATTGAACATCGGCATACAGTGTATATAGCCTGCCCTTTTCATGAGAAGGAATGCTGTGACTACCTCAGAAAAAAAGATTGAGACAGCTTCGCCGTGTATTGAACTTTATAGAGCGTTGTCAGCGTTGTCCACAATTCACTTTGCTCCCAGGTTAGCACTCGCATCAAGTTGCGGAGCACCTCATTGACTCCTTTGGCTCCCTTCGGATGAGAAAGAAACACATAGTAACTTCCACCCTCCTATACTATTAAAAAAATTGAGCGTGTTTGCGTGATCCTCCGTGGTCGATGTTGTTCCCGCGAAACGCTTTCAATCCCAAATCTCCAAGTAAATCCGTGGCGCTGGTGCCTGCACATCACCGAAGTTGAAATCATCCCAGCCGTCATCACCTGTCAAACTTGCGACCTCACCTCAGCACCTAAATCCAGACTGAGTCTAGATTCTGCATCAAAATGGCCGATGTAAAATTACTTTATACCGATACCCCCTGCAGAACTCCTGAAATCCCAAAGGTTATCTGTGGCAAGCCCCAGATTGAAAACCATGAAGTGGTATATCAGATCTGACAAATCAACCCGGCTTGAAGATGTTTGACGCCATTTGACCTGTCATATATCATATAGGTAGATAGATTCATAGATAGATAGATAGATGCCAACCAACGAAGCAACTGCAAAGAGAATACTGCAAATGCTAAATACAAACCCCGTCCACTGCCTCCATCCTCTCCTTTGGGCTTGGCAAGGTCAAACGAAGGCTGTATCTCCTGTCAGATAGAGAAACCTATTACTGTTAATTTTGCTACGAGGTTGGAGAGCCAAGGACCTACAGTTTGCATCGGTATCTTGCCTGTATATTCTGTTACACTTGCAATATCTTGCAATGCGCCGTCTTAATTCTAAGGATCATGACGTGGAATACCGTGAATACGCAAAATCATTTCTGTGACACAGCAACAACCTGCTACGAGTCCAGCGGGAGATCTCATCAGATCTAAGCTGGGCCTGCGGAGGCTCAGCATTTGTCCGAGAACGAAGTTCGTGCAGCTCGTGCTCCAGCTCAACAACGCGAGCCTGTACAAGTACTCGGTGGGTCGTGCCCTGCCAATTAATTTGCAGTACACAATTCTTGCAAAGTCGTTTCAAGGCATTCTGTGTTTGTGCCATGAAGAGCAAGAACAGCAAGAACATGTCGGTGAAATGAAATGAAATATGGGAGAGCTGAGGTGAGGCGAGGGACTTTAAACATCTTTAAACTCTCAATATGGAACGAACCGCTAAGCCGCTGGATCGAGACTGCTAAGCTGGTAAGGCTGTGGCACGAACCTCTTTCAAAATGTTCAAACTATGTGCACACAAGAACTCTCTATTCGTCACCTCGATTTGTGCATCCGCCCTATACGTGAGTGATACTTGGACCTTCGATGCACAATTATATAATGCTCTGAACGTGCACCCGGAGGATGTTTTTGGCTGCAGGCTCAAAGCAAAATCCAACCATCATGGCTCATGACCACATAGCACGACAAAATCTTCCGACTTCGACTCAACCCCTACATTCTGAACGCTACCAGTATTAGGTAGGTGCTCTCGAGCCCCATAGTGGTTGGCCTCAAGGGCCAAAGGGTTGTCTTGGGCAGCTTGCGCTTCCAACTCGGCTACGCGAGTGTTAGCGGCTGACAGCTTTGTCTGCAATTGCCTCAGCTGCGCCTTTCCACCAATCGAAAAACGCCCTCACAATACTCAAAAGGCCAGCACAAAGAGGAAAACACAAACAAAGCAGCTGAATTCCGAAGTTTGCCAAATGGCATAAGGTCATCCGAGTCTTCGCTGACCGCTTTGTTCCGCTCCTGGTTGGGTCTAGCAACCGGATGGCAGCAAACGAATCTTAACATCAGTTAGTACATACCAGAGACATACGAGACACACAACAATAGAAAACAACGATCATACAGTCAAAAACACTCGAGTCTGCACTGATTAATACAAGACTGCACTATCTGGCCTGGAAAGGACAAGGTTGACCTTGGTTGGCTTGCGCTTCCAGCTGCTCGACCCGTGCATGAGCAGCTGACAGCTGTGCCTGCAATTGCCTTGGCTTCGCGAAATCAAGGCGGACCTTGCGGAGCAATGCTCAGATCAAGGTGTTTTCAATCTTGCTGAGTGAAGGGACAGTATGATTTCCTCCAACTCCTCGCTGGTTGCACGGGGCGACCCCTCCTGTGAAGAGAGGAAGTCGTTTCTTCCGCAAATCCACTTATGGAGAAGCGTCACAAATCAAACAACACCGAAGCAATATGGCTCACAGCTAAGTATATATATATATATATCCAGCCTCGGAGCCCAAAGGTTCATCTTGAGCAGCCTGCGCTTCCAGTTCAGCCACACGAGCATGAGCAGCAGCCAGTTGTGCCTGCAATTGCCTCAGGTCGATGAAGAGACTCGTCCAAAGCGTTGCAAGCCCAAAAGAGTGCAGCAAAATCAAAGTGAACAACAACAACAACAACAGAAATGCAGAAAACAATGCTCAACCCTTAGTGTGGCAAGTGGCGTAATCTCGTTCATGTCTTTGCTCGTGTCGGGCTGTTCCTCGTCAAATCAAGAAGAAAACCAGCTTACCAGTTGCTTCCCCTGGGTCTTTTCAGAATCTTCTGCTACCCTTAAGGTGCACTTTAAGATACAGGCAGTCTTTGACCACACTTCCATCTGAAGAAAAAGCAAGAACCCCACCCGCCCCCACAGCCCCCGCACGGTCAGAACATCATCTTCTAATGTCTTAGAAACACATACAAACAATGCCATGCACTTTTGCCCACCTCTGCCCCAAGTTTGCAAACAATTGCGCAATACTTGTGGGTGCTCGACAGTGTGTTGACGACCCATGGTGGCCCGGCATTCTAGAATCTTAATGAATCTTACATCCTTGCCAGCACAGCGGCTGTCGTATTCAAACAAGTTGATGCTTGGAAGGCTCAGTGTCAGCCTAGGTCCACAAATTGAAATCCAAAGCTGGCCTCCAGGGTTTGTGCAGATTGTGCTTCCAACTCGGCCACGCGAGTGTGAGCAGCTGACAGCTGCGCCTCCAACTGCCTCAGCGTCCACATGTTTCCACCATCTTCCACCGTTCGACCTATGGAAAAAGCACTTTGACCACTGCTACCCAAAGGCTCCAATCGGCCAAAACCAGTTCATCGCATTGCCCGCACAGGTACATGCTTCAGGTCACTAGAGCTGACGTGTTCACGCTTCGCTGGTTCACGCCAGTGCGGGAATGACCGGCTTTCAGCAGAAAGACAAAAAATGGCCACAACCAGGTCCGTATCTGCGCGACTGAAAATGTCTGGATTTTCATGCACTTCAAAGTTCGGCGTGAACAGCCCATCGTGAACTAGTTGGGTTTGGGATGGTTTTGGGTTCAAGTTGGATCTGGAGTTCAGCCCGCGAGTACTATGGGCGCCCGCCAAGTTGCAAAAATTCCTCATACCCTTTGCTCTCTGAGGTCTTGTGCTCCTGACAACAGGTTGGCGCATGACGTGTTTCATTGTCGTCACATCTCTCAAAAATTCAATTGGCTTCAGCTGGCAAATGTTCCATCAGCAACGCGATCGGGCTACAACCGGACGTCTTCCAAGCTGGTTAGCCTCTTGGGAAGCCTGTGCTTCCAGTTCTGCCACACGAGCATGACTAGCTGCCAGTTGTGCCTGCAATTGCCTCAGGTCGATGAAGAGTTTTATTTTGCTAGAAGCAATGCAAGACAATGAAGAGTGCACCATCACCCGCGTCAAGAAAACAACGTAAAGAATGCAGAAAACATGCTCAGCCCCTTTGGCCAGTGGCGTAATCTCTTTCATGTCTTTGCTCCCGTTGGGTTGCTCCTCGCCAGATCAAAGAGCAAACCAGAATACAAGTTGTTTCCATGCTTGCCGATGTACTTTTAGAATTTTCTGCTCTCCCAAAGGCCCTGGGTCTGATGGGCTGCAATGCACTTTTCCCACCTCTTCCCCAAGTTTGCAAACAATTGTCATTGTCCAACGTGGGTGCTCGAGAGTTTGTTGAGTCGCCCGGCATTTTTAGAATCCCTCTATGTGTCAGTGCGACTTGAAAGGCATTTGATTAAAGTGTACGCAGCGTTGCGGTGTTGGGTTTGTGACCACTACACGCTTCTGGTACCCTGAGTGACCAGAACTCTCACACAGCCACGCAACGCAGCTCCACATCGGCCCCCGACAGAAATCTACAATATTTACAGTATCTACTTTATAGAATGGAAACTGGTAAGAGGAACAAGAACAGGAATCAATCGCGCCCGATAGTTGAATCTTCACATACCCCATTACAAATTGAAAAACCTGGCCTCCAGCACCACAGGTTTGTCTTGTGCAGATTGTGCTTCCAACTCGGCCACGCGAGTGTGAGCAGCTGACAGCTGCGCCTCCAACTGCCTCAGCGTCCACATGTGTCCACCATCTTCCACCGTTCGACCTATGGAAAAAAGCACTTTGACCACTTTTACCCAAAGGCTCCAATCGGCCAAAACCAGTTCATCGCATTGCCCGCACAGGTACATGCTTCAGGTCACTAGAGCTGACGTGTTCACGCTTCGCTGGTTCACGCCAGTGCCGGAATGACCGGCTTTCAGCAGAAAGACAAAAAATGGCCACAACCAGTTCGGTATCTGCGCGACTGAAAATGTCTGGATTTTCATGCACTTCGAAGTTCGGCGTGAACAGCCCATCGTGAACTAGTTGGGTTTAGGATGGCTTTGGGTTCAAGTTGGATCTGGAGTTCAGCCCGCGAGTACTATGGGCGCCCGCCAAGTTGCAAAAATTCCTCATACCCTTTGCTCTCTGAGGTCTTGTGCTCCTGACAACAGGTTGGCGCATGACGTGTTTCATTGTCGTCGCATCTCTCAATAATTCAATTGGCTTCAGCTGGCAAATGTTCCATCAGCAACGCGATCGGGCTACAACCGGACGTCTTCCAAGCTGGTTAGCCTCTTGAGAAGCCTGTGCTTCCAGTTCTGCCACACGAGCATGACTAGCTGCCAGTTGTGCCTGCAATTGCCTCAGGTCGATGAAGAGTTGTATTTTGCTAGAAGCAATGCAAGACAATGAAGAGTGCACCATCACCCGCGTCAAAAAAACAACGGAAAGAATGCAGAATCCATGCTCGGCCCCTTTGGCCAGTGGCGTAATCTCTTTCATGTCTTTGCTCCCGTTGGGTTGCTCCTCGCCAGATCAAAGAGCAAACCAGCATACAAGTTGTTTCCATGCTTGCCGCCGATGTCCTTTTAGAATTTTCTGCTCTCCCAAAGACCCTGGGTCTGATGGGCTGCAATGCACTTTTCCCACCTCTTCCCCAAGTTTGCAAACAATTGTCATTGTCCAACGTAGGTGCTCGAGAGTTTGTTGAGTCGCCCGGCATTTTTAGAATCCCTCTATGTGTCAGTGCGACTTGAAAGGCATTTGATTAAAGTGTACGCAGCGTTGCGGGGTTGGTAACCTGAGTGGCTAGAGTGACTAGAACCCTCACACAGCCACGCAACGCGGCTCCACATGGCCCCCCAAAACACCACGCCAGGCACGCATACGGTATTTATGTAGTACTGCAATAATAGCCCCACATAAGCCTGCTCCCTCTCACCCTCTCCAAAGGTTTCTCTATGATTTCCCACGTGTAGAGTTTTGAAACACCGCATTCATCTGCATCCGTGACATCTCCAGCATATTAAGCATCTGGCCAAATCTTGAGCTCGGGCCCGGGGCATGGGAAAAGTCTGCTGCTGCACTCCATGCACGTGACCGACTGCGGGTGATCTTGACTAATGCTAGATCCATAGCTTGAAGTAGCTTGGAAGCCCCCCCATAAACATAAGAGGCCCTTCACACTTTTATCATCTACACTGTACACTACAGTATCCACATTCAGAAACTGGAAAGGGTCCTTGAATCTGTGCATTTAATAAGCTACTGTACATAATTTTATGTTCACATACCATCACACATCCAATATCGAAAGCTGGCCTCCACAACCAATGACTGGTCTTGTGCAGCTTGCGCTTCCAACTCGGCCACGCGAGCGACAGCAGCTGACAGCTGCGCCTGCAACTGCCTCAGCTTCCACATGCTTCCACCATCTTCCACCGTTCTACCCATGGAAGAACACTTGACCCAAGGCCCAAGATCATCTAACATTGCAAGGCTCAAATCGGCCAAACCTGTTCGAGTGTCGAGCGTGTTCACTATTATATTATTTAACTATAAATGTCCGATGGAACCTGCGAGACTGGGCCAAGTGTCACAATCTCCTCGGACTCTTTGTTCCCTGAGGCCGCACACTCCTGAAAGGTTAGGCAACACACTGACCGATACTCTTCTATGACATGCTTCATTGTCATCATGCATTTGGACGGTGAGTCTGGGTAGATACTCAAGATGCCAATTGCACACAGGAAGCCCTCTGAGCTGATATGAGTTCTAACATGTCCAAGAACTCAGAAATGGTCTCTGGAAAGAACCCTCCATGCAGTCAAAGCGGCATTGGAGAACATGGACACCGTTGGCACGGAGGGAGCACAGGAACTCGCCACCTTGTGATGTGACAAATGAGACGGCTCTAACATATTTATAGACAGGGCTCCTCCGTGGTCTATTGATGCTGGTTCGCGCTCAACACTTTGCAGCCCTGAATGAACGACCTAAATAAATCTTTCATTTCTGCTTTCAAACCCAAAGCTTA